GCCCGGTTCCTTAGGAGAAGAGAAGTTACGGGAGGACCAAAGTGGTAGGGAAAGCATATTTTGTGCAGAGAAAATTTCGAATAGGTAGAAGGAGATTTGGCTGTCAGACGAGCGCACGTCGACAAGCTAATGGGCTGCGTCTGAAGTGACGTCTTGCAGCAATCATCGGAGCGGCCACCGAAGTCTGTCTTTGTCTTAGTCAGCCTTGAAAGTGATTGAACAATCCGAGAGGGGCCTATGATACGTGCGTGCATAGTAGCCGTGCAAGACAGGCACGCAGTTGGCCCCTGGGGCACGCCGAGAATTGCAATGACGTGACCTCATGCAGGCGTAGCATGAGAGGTTACTACGGAGCATACCCTAGAAAAGATGGCCGAAGTGAGTCGGGCATAGTATCCGTCAATTCCGATTCAATAAGCTACTGTCTTTGGTCTGATACGGTCTCCTCGCTCGAGGAAAACCAAACAGGTGGCAATCGCGAGACCGCGATCATACGTGGCCTATCTTGCTTCCGATTTTGTCCCGTATAGTGCGTCCCCCATTTAGTGGCGCAAGCGGGATACCCGAGGAACACCCTAAGTTCCAATCACACATGCTTTGAGTCATACTTTTGCCTCAAGTGGAGAGGTGGGGAGGGGGTAACGGCACCGGATCAAACGTAGCAGGTAGTTGAACCGGTCTTGACGGAAGGCCAACAGGAATACTTCCAACCGGGTGATTATGGCGACATCCGTGATCCATGCGTTTGGAAGTAATCCAAGTTCGAGGTATTTTTATCCATCTAAAGTGACAGCTTTCTTCTGATTGTCACTACACACCCCCCAGAATACTTGGTTCTGTGTGACGTATTTGACTGTCCAATCCATCCCGCAAATCGTGCTCTATGCATCACAGTTGGAGGGTTTCGTTACAAAATCAGCCAACCAGCCTGAGCCCAATTGCACAATTCACACTGTTTGTACAGTGGAAACTGCGGGATGTGCTCGTCTATTCAATCTGGATCCCAGGAGAGCATTCCCATTACGACCACGCATATATGCAAAAGGGAACTATCAATAAAAAGACAAGAGGTCTGGAATGTCCATTTTTGGCCTGGTCTTCATCAGCCAACCAACCAGCGACTAGCAACAACAAGTTCTAGCTGTTTTACCGGTAGCCAAGGCCGAGATGTCACCGCCTAAGTTCGTCTTGTGTGAGCCCCCAAGGAAGGACACGACAAGAAGTGGGCGAAAGCAGAAGTCTTTGAGTGTTAAAGGTACAACATATTTAGGGCAACAAACGCGTGTAAATTATGTCCATCGGACCAATCAGCTTCTGGCCTGGCGTGGCTAGTGTTACGATTAGCTGGTGACTCACGACTGACTGTAGCTTGAATTTTAAATTATAGATTGATTGCCTGTCAGTATGCTTCGCCGCCTGTAGGCTGATCGATAGCCTGCCGTAAGCGCGCTCGCTACCTGTTTGCTAGCTCGCTGCTGGCCGTCCCTTAAGCGCCTCCTAACACCAGCTCCCTCTGCTGCATTTGTATCTTGGCTGAAAAAAAAGTTTGGCATGGAGATCCATGGAGAGGCTCTTCGAGGGTTCGTACTGTTAATAACCACTTACTTGCAGATTTCCAGTGGATCGAATTTCATTTTCTATTTACCGGCCTTTATTAGAAACCGTGTTAGGCCTCTAGCAACCAATCCTTCCGTGTTACGAGGCTTGAATTGCAAACTCAACAGAAAAATCGTGTCGTTGATACTAGGCTCAGAGTGTGAGTTGTTTGCGACCGAGTGCGCAGTCGTGATAGTTCAGTTGGCGATTAGTGTAATCTCCTGGTAGGTCGCATCTGACGAGCACCACAGGGCCGACGTTAGTTTTATTGTAGTACCCTGACAGCCTCTTTTAAAATCCTCCCATTCTTTCGAATACAGGCAAATTGTCTCGTTTTTTGTTAGTTCAGGCATGTACTTGCTGGCAGGAACGTTTGTTTACTATGTCATGTTTTGATACCTAAAAAGACTTCTTTCGATCAAAGCATGTTCGTCCGTTAAATACGAGCATGACGAACGCTACCTCCGGATAGGCAGCGATGATTTGTTCTGAGGGGAAAAATGCGATCTTTGGAACAAGGAGTTTATTGGCGTGACGTTTTGGATGCTCGCTCAAACCCCTCATCTGCGATTGTCTCTGGTAATGGGCTTGAGTGAGGTGTCGAAACATCGGGCCAA